GCTACCATGTGAGCAAGCCAACAGGACTGTCAACAGTCTTCAGCAATTAGACATCTTCTCCAAGAAGGAAACAGCTGGAGGCCAGAGCCAGTCATCTACTCTATTGACATCTGCTTCTATATTTCTATCCTGAGGTTTCTTTTATTTATTTATGTTATTCAAACAATTCAATAGAGACCATGTGTCAACTTAATTGTCTTCTCCTGATAATTCTAGGCACTTGGGTGCACCAATGATTTATTTGTAATTCACTAGCAATGTTAATGCAATACTTAAAACAAAACTTACTAGTATATATAGAAATCAAGTCAACCAATAGCCCTTCTTTTCTCTTCCCCTGACACCAGCTTCATTGTTGCAGAGTTACTAGTTAAGAGTAACATCTTGCAGCCACACAGCATTAGTGTGAATCCATATTCTGCCATACTCTAGCATGGAGATATTGCAAGTCATTTAACCACTCTCAGCCTCAGTTTCTTCATCTGTAAAATGGTAATAATAAAAATGCCTATATCATAAGGTTATTGTGAGGACTGAATGGGATACTCCACAAAGTGCTCAGCTCAGTACTTGATATATATCAGGTTTCTATAAACAGTAGTTAATATTAGTACCTCTCTGCTATAATCTTTCCTAAATATCATTGATAGTATAATTTTTGTCTAAGTCTTACGTAAGAGCCTTCTATAATGAAGTCTGCCCCCATCTATAATTAGACCCAAAAATGTTCATTTCCACAAACTGCTCAAATTATAATGGTTTACTCACTAGATATTCTTCTATGCAACCCTTTCCTCAAAAGAGTGGGTTGTTTTTTTTTCTTTCTAGATGAGTCCTATCTTCCCATTAAATTCCAACTACTTGATGAAGGTTTTTTTGGGTTTTTTTTAATGCTCCATTTAAATAGGATTTCTCTCATACCTAAAATCCTACAAAAGAATTGCCTCATTAGAAATATTATTCATACAATATATTTGCTTGTGTATATCACTATTTATGTGTTTAAAATATAATCAATTTAATGCTTTTCAGTATCTTTTGTTTTCAAAGCACTACTGTTAGCATGATGTACAGAGAATAGTAAGAAGTAATCTCTACCTTCATTGTCCTAACAACTAATAGAGTAAGAAGATTAAACAAACATCCATACTACTATGTATACAAATGCCACTACTTTTTCAAGAGTTTTATTTAATTCTCCCCAATTGGATGTAAAATTACCTTCATTTTAATCTCCACAACAATTTGTTTATTCTTTTCTTTGACTTTTGAACTCAGTCTTAAAGAATGAGATTTAGAAGACAGGATATATCCAAACAATTAAAATATATATATATACATATGGCAATTATATTTTGAAAGGAGTAATATAATATGCAAAAAAGGCTTTGTAGGGACAAACTTAAATTAAAAGTCCTGGATTTTGATACTAGTTAACTCTCTGATTTTATGACTCTCCCACTCTATGTAAGCCTCAGTTTATTTCTCTGTAAATGTGGAAATAATGCCTTCTTTGAAATGTCATGAGAATAAAATGAAAAATTTCCTATAAAGTACTTGGTAAATGCTCAAAAAAATAATTGCCTTCTATAATAATGTAAAAAAACAAAATATTGAGTTTGCACAGGCAATCCAAGAGGGAAGGAGCCACTGAGCCCAACATGGGAAAGAAGTTAGAAAGGAGAACACAGGTAAAAGAGAGGTGGCAGATCAGGTAGAAAGGATGCTAGGGACTGAAAAGTGAAGACCAGAAAAGAAGCTCTCAGTGGTAGGTATGGCCAAGGAACTTTCATGAACAGGGATGTCCAGTGCTTAATTGTAAGTTATTTGCTGAGCCTTGAAAAAACAGTACCCTCTTTCTTAACCTTACTCTCTGGATTAAGTAAAGATGCCAAAGTAAAGTGACTCTTTTCCTCATTTGGGTGAGTGGCCAGGAAGAATGGAAAGATGAAACCACATTAGGAGAGACATTAGAAAATTCAAGGAAAATAAGAAATCAGGAGATAGCTAGAGAAACCCTGAGTCGTTGAAATATTGTGGTAGAGTTTCCAAATGTATGGGACACGGAATCTGGAATTAATGTTATTCATCTGTTATAGATACAGTGAGACTAAGCAGTCTGAAGAACCTGGCACACCCAGGAAGGGTGCATCTGGAACAGAGCAGCTAGATGGAGCTAGCATAGAAGAGGGGGTGAGAACAACTGGGAGACTAGCATGCTTATAGGAAGAAATTATAAACATGGAAAATAACTGAAGTGTTTTCATTAAGCAGGATGCTGAAAGTGTTGGATGGATGTGGGGGGTGTCACAGAAGAAGAGGCCAGTTTGGAAGTATTGTAGTAATTAATAGGAAACAAAGGCCAAGGCATGAGCTTGTGCATTAGGGGATAAATCCAACCTGTAACACAGAAACAAAATCTCCAATTTCTAGAAATTATGGGATGTGAAATAGTGATGTATACCACCCGATACTGAACTAGGAATTCAAAATTAGATGACTGGGAAGGGAGTGCTGGGTTGAAGACACATTTCTGACACATGCATAGGTTTGTTCTCTCTAACCAGACTGTGAGGTTGTTTGGTGCAAGGACTAGCAGAGAATTCCACATAAATGTTTTTTAATGACTGTCATCTATTGTGGGTACTATCCATGGTCTCTTTTTTCTTAGAAGTAGAACCCATAATTTTTAGCTGGGCACATAGCTTCCTAGAATAAAAACTACATTTTCCAGCTTCCATTGCCCAGCTAGATAAGGCCTTGGAACTATAACAGGCCAATGGGGTGTGGGAGAATCCTTAATGAAATAGGATATGTCTTTTTAATTGAATGGAACTCAATTATCCACTCAAGACTGAGAGACAGATGCCACAAACTGATGATGGTGGACAAAACAGAGAAAGCCTGGCTCCCTGACAACTTCATGCAGTCACCCTACCGACCACAGACTGCCTGCTTCCATTTCCCCCTTACGTGAAAAGGAAACAAACTCCTGTCTTGTTTATGCTATTGTTAGGTTGAGTTTTCTACTATTTGCAGCCAAATCTAATTATCTCTAATATAACCACCATGATCATTTTCTTTTCCTCAGTTCTATTTTTCAAAAGTTTATAAATATCCTTAAATATACCTTTACAAACATTTAGAAATATTCTGAAGTGCTGACCAGGCATTCTTTACATTTGTTTGAAAAAGTCTTTAATATGATAAGTGGCATGGTAAAAACATCCCTATAAATACAACATTGCTTACCACAGAGTCTTATTGGAATATCAGATGTGTGATTGATATGTTTGCTAACCAGAGATCAACCAAAATTCTATTGAAAACAGTACTTATAGTGGTCAAGTCTTAGGCCAAGGCCATCTATCAAAGTGAAAGTTTGACTAAACCTGCAGAGATAATAGCATGGTCAGCAGAGAAAAAATGGTCTATCTATTCTTTCCATCTAATCCAGACAAGTCATTGTGGTTACAAAGACAGAGTTATATGGTGTTCACATTTAATTACTTGCATACAGTTAAATATTTTTAGTCTTCTGTTGATAATTTACACTTCTCTACTTTTACCCTGAATTACTTTCATTGGACTGAGAACTAAAAATCTTTAATTATTTTCTAACTGACTTTTCTTGCATTGACAATGCTTTCTTAAAACATCAAAGGAATAATATAATTTTAGAGCTAGAAGTACTTTAAAAATCATTCATTCTAAATCCTATGTTTTATAGATTAAAATGATCCAATGAGAATGAAGAACTTAACTATGTATTTCTCAGAGCAATTGTTCATTCATTCATTCATTCATTCATTTGCTCATGTATTAATCCAGTCAATTATTATTTAATTCTTACGCCTAAAGCATTGGAGAGAAGGAGCTGAAGCACAGAATAAGGTCTTGAATCTATATTTTCAACTTAGTGGGGTTAGAAATAAATTATCCAGATAATTAAAATACAATATAGGTAAATGTGCTATAAGTATTACTACAGACAAAGAATCACAGAAGGGGAAAGGAGGAAGAGGGGTAGCTAGCAAAGCCTTTATGAATAAAGTTGCAATGGGGGTGCACCTTAGAGGATGTGAACAGTTGAAAATAGAATGGACATTTCAGACAAAAGGGGTGATTTTCTTTTTAACATGTAGAGTTGATTTCTATATGAAGTTATTTTTAAATTACATTTCAGTGGGACAGTAAAATCAAACCATTCCCTAAGAAGCCAGATGTAAGAATGGTTACTTTGGAAAACTTGACATAATAGTTAAAACTGCATGAAAAAAGTGATGTTTATCAAGTACAAATGAATCCCCCTGAAGTTCATCAGCTAAAGGGCCAGGCTACCCCACCGCATCTGGAGAAAATGATTACAGCTTAAAAACCAGTAGTATAAACTACTGCTCACAAAATGTATAAATTAAATGACTGAAAAAGATGTCAGTAATAAGTAAAACAGTAGGGTTTCAATTTACAAGTGAAAATCCAGACAAATGTACAGTATCAAGAAAAAGAATATTTCATTTTCCTTCATATTTCAATGAGGTAAGCAGTCTATGATTCACAGATTCAAACAGAAAGTGTTTAAGATGCAAATGACATTTAGAGAAAAGTGGTGGTATCTCTATGAACTTTTACAAATAAATCTCCTTTAACATTATAGTATGTATGAAAAATAGGTCCCCTTTTCCCCATGTTTGTGATTGGTTATGGTTATCAGTAACAGAGCAATATCTAGGACTAACTAGGCATTCCTCCATGAGTAGTCCTAGGTGATAACATATGCATATTCAGAGAATTTTGTTCACGACTTTTTCAACAAGTATAAACTGTAAGTACGAGATTTACATAGGCTAAATATTCAGCTTTTCAGCTATGCAAACGACTGACTTCCTTACGCCGGTGTTCCTCTACTAGACACCATTTCACACCATGCTTTCTATTCCACCTGAAAGGAAATTAGCATTTTAGCTACATAAGTCCGCAGGTAACCTTCAGCCACTAACCTTGCTGTCTTCTGTGTCCTTAGCTTTCCCCTGGAGGGGGTTCTTCTCTCCAAATTCACAGGTTGATTTTAACGGGAGCTGACAAGAAAGCATTGAGCTCTCTGTTTCAGTGAGTTCCAAAGGTCTCAAAGAACAGTGCTGTGACCCAGGAGTGCCAAGACTTGGTATCGGAAGAGCAGTGTGAACAGGCTTTGACCCAACAGCTGGCTGCCTCCGTTTTGAGGCAACCCCAAGTACAGGCATGGCTTCTATAAAAGTATCTTCCTGCTGCCAAAGAAAATGTTGCTATCCTCAGTCTGGTAGACTCCAACTTCACTATTTCCAGAACAAATACTTTAAACAAAACTAGCAGTCATCGAGATTTAAAACAGAAAAAAAAAAAAAAAACCCTAATAATATAACTTTCAACAAGAGGCAACAAAACTTCCCTTCATCTTTAGTTAAGTATATTTTTTTCTTGCTGGCTCAAATTCTCATATTCTCTCCCTCTCCCTCTCTCTCTCTCTCTCTCTCTCTCCAGTGAGTCAGTGTCTATGTAATATTAAATACTCCTTTGGGGAGTAGACTTCTCTTAAAGGTAACTGCTAGGAAACTCCTCCTTTAGGGTCACAGAGCTCCCAGCGTTACCTTTCCTTCTCACTACAGCAGTCTGAGCTGAGCCCTGAGACTGAAAAGGAGGAGGGGAACAAAAGGAAAAGTCCTTCAGTCCAATTGTCAAAGCAGCCAAAAGGCCACAATAGTGGAAGGACAGACGTTCTTCCTGACTTCAGAAATAACCAGCCTACATTCTCTTTTTAAACAAAATCGTATTTCCCCCAGCTTAAAAAAAAAAAAATTGGACACGATTAATGGCCAAAACAAACAGCTGTTGGAAGAACTTTTAGCCCGGAAACAATCTCAGCAATGAAGCTGTTTGTCTGATTTCCAGCTATTTTTCACTGCTGACAGCCATGAACCGCGGTGTTCATTCTGTTTTATCCCATGAAATCAGGTTAAACTCGTGCAATAGTGCAACTAGCTAAAGCTGCTAAATCATTCAGCAGACCAAGCCTGCCTAGGTTATGAAAATATAGTAAATACAGAGAGCAGGGCACTAGCTACAGAGTAATCATTGTCTCTAAATTTAGTAATGATAACAGCAATACTTAGAGCTAATACATACACAGAATGTACAACATAGCAGTTACCAGGCAAGCACTTTTTGCATTAGCACATTTAATCAATCCGTGGATGACTCAAGAATAGGCCCACTTACTTTCTCCACTTTATAGAAAGAATAATTCCGATTCATTTGAATAATTTGACCAAAATCATGCAGTTAGAAAGTGGAAGAGCCTATGTAATCTAAAGAGTAACTTTGAGCCATCTTAGAAATAATTTACATTATTACCCAAGCTTATTAAATACGACTTAAAATACTCAACATCTAAGTGTCCAAATGTACACTCAATGAATATGAAAATACAGCTTCTGTCCATAAATTACTTTATTATAACCAGATAATGTTTCATTTCTGATAAAAGTAGGTCAGGGTCTGCAATAAGAGCAAAGGGTACATTTTGAAGAAAACATCTGACGCATATGTACTATTGTCTTCAGAGTAGGTACACTCGGTAACGGGTGCACAGGAGAACGGCCCCCTCATTCAGTAAACACAATGTTATGCGACAGTGTTGAGAGTTCATTAGCAATTTCCTAACTAATAACAGGAATTTATTTGATTTCATGTTCCTCATGTTTTCGTTTAAGAATTCTGTAAGACGTAAACGGATTTACCCCCTTTTTTTCTTTATTTAGAAAATCTATCTTATATTTATAAAATATTTTAAGAATTAGTAATATTGCAAGTGAACTTCCTAGAAAAATGAGTGAACATTTAGTATGGGTCCAATAAATAGTGGCACTTATGAGAATCGTAAACCATTATTGTAGAAAATATCTCTCTATAGTAAAGAAATGAATTTTTTTGTCTACTATTTTCAGCACTAAAATCATGTACTTTTAAGGAAGGTGGAGTAATTTACAGGTAAAAGAGACAAATAACTAAAGTCAAATGTACAGGTTCTCTTAAGACAAGTATAGAAGAAACTCAAACACAAGTTAGAAATCTTGACAACTTTTTTAAAAAGCAACTCAAGTGGGCTTTACCCAGTGAGATAATAAAAAATAAATACAAAACTGGGGTTGATAAAGAAATTACATGGTCACTCTGAGAAAGTAAGTCACTTTATAATTTACAAACCATAAACATATAATCCCTTCCGAAGACTATAAGTTATTGCAAATCTAGAGAGATGTTCAAAATGGAGTTAAACGATATGAGAAGATATATACACCCTGTAATCCTCACATTGCAAACAAAATGGCATACCTAAAATAATAGGACTTTAGGGGAAATTGGTTCTGGGAATAAGTAGATCACTAACAAAAATTATCTTGGTACCTCAGAAAATAATTTGGACCACCCAAGCAAGCAGTTCAGCCTCAGAGTTTTAAAAAATTGAATAGAAGTGCTGACAATCTGTTAATTAGAATTGGTGGGGAAAATCCAGTTGGAAGGCCAACTGTGAGCCAATAGGCTTGCCCGTGGATTGCAGCAGAGGGCAATGTAATCTGCAGATATTTAAGAGCCTCACAAGGAGTATGCTCCTTTGGCAAGGACACCTCAAATATGGGCACTCATTTTTGTTTTGTTTTGTTCTGTTTTGTTAATTTTCACCCAGGGAAGGGGGGGGGGGGAATCTATGCAAGAGACACATTGATTGGTTGCCTCCTGCACCCTGACTGGGGCCAGGATCAAGCCTGCAATCCTGGTACATGCCTTAGACTGGGAATCAAATCCAAAACCCAAGAACCTTCAGTACTCTGGCCAACACTCTAACCACTTAGCCACACTGGCCAGGGCTGGGCACTCATTTTCAAGTTTTTCTTAAGACTGAGCCAAAGGGATACCTGTTGACTATGCAGTATCAAAGCTGAAGGCTTCTTTTCCCACCCAAGGTAATCATTCTCCTTTGATTATACTGCCTCTGTTCGCCTAGAATAAAGCACATATTAAAGCTACACTACTTCTACATTATACCAACATAATTCTATTTGCCAATGACAAATGAGCTCATTGGTATTTCAGAAACATATGCTGGAGCAGAACACACTATGATTCCTGATGTAATCAAATTGAAAAAAGTGTTCACATTCAATAAGATGTCTTTTCACTCTGAAATGTTTTCTGCTTATTAGACAATATTATTTCACTGTGACTGAAGTATGGTATTGAAAATAGTTGTCACTGTTGACTAATTCTATGAAATAACATCCACCACCAAGAGCAACATAAACAAGTTAACTTATTAGAGGATTTACTGTGTGCCAGAAGCTGTCATCCCATTTCATTCTAAAAGAACATCACCTTTGAATAGGAGACAAAGGCCCTGAGAAGTTAAGTAATTAGCTTAACATCACAGAAAATGGAGTTTCTCAAACTGGGTTCAAGAAACCACCACCTGGAACACTTGCTAAAAATACAGATTACTGGATTCCTCCCAAACCTACCAAATAAGAACTGCAAGGGAGAGGGAGAAGTCCGAGAACTGAATTTAAATCAATTGACTCTCCTGCACACTAAAATTTAAGATCTGTATTTTAGTGGATTTGTAGTTTGACAGTTCAGTGAATGGACTAACACTGGATTGCCCGTAGTCAAATCTCTGTTTCCTCATTTATTAGCCTTGAGATTTTTGGCAGCTGCTGTGCCTCAGTTTAATCAACTGTAAAATGGGCGGAAAAATAAGTGTACACCTTTCACAGGTAGCTGTGAGAATTAAAGGAAATATATCCATGGAGTCATTAGAACAGAGTCTGCCACCTAGTAAGTACTCAATAAGTGTGAGCTATTAATGTTATAAGAAATAAAATAGCTTTGAGAATTATTGAAGAAAGGTCAAGAAACATAATTGAAGAGTTTAGCCAGGATCATAAGGCTTAAAAGAACTGAATTCAGAGAGGAAAAACCTGAAAATATAAATGTGATAAATTACTTGTCATTTTTTCCCACCAAATCTAATAGGAGACGTAGTGATGTCTCCTGAAACACAACTGCCTTCCAAAGCCAAGCTACAGTTTCAGGCAATAAGAGAATTCCAACCTGGCTAAATTTTAATATCAGTGATTTTTGAAAGTAAATCACAAAACCTCATGAAATGTTTTCTATTATTTATTTATAAAAAAAGAGAAAGAAAATAACCGTCAGCACTAAAAACATGCTTATAAAAAGACAAAATACAACTGGCTAGTCAATTGTGCTGTTTGCTAAAATAAAGATAAAACAGTCATATCCCTATTTTTAGCAACTTTACACAATAAAATTCAACAATGCTAAGAAAATAATTCAACATGATCAGCATCACAATCCAAATGTGGAGTATTTCTTTTATCTAACCTCTTTTAGGCCCCTCTGCAGTCAACGTTCCACTCCCAACTCAGGCAACCAATGAGGTGCTTTCTGAGACTAGTTTAGCCTTTCTAGTAAAAATTTAAATGAAATCATACTGTACTTTTGTGCCTGACTTTTTCATTAGATATTGAGATTGATCAACAGGTTATTAATGCTTTATTTATTCTTTAAATCGTTTTAACTCTGTTCATTATTTTGCATTCCATTAACTTCCAGGGCTATGTTTTCCAGTTTACCAATCTTTACTTCTACAGTATTTAATTTGTCATTAATCCTATCTAGGGTATTTTAATTTCAGATAATGCATTTTTCATCTCTAAAAGTCCCATTGGGTGTCTTTTATATTGAGCATTTCTTTTTTCATCACATTTATGTTCTCTTCATGAACACATGGGACCTATTATAATAATTGTTTGATACTCTTATCCACAAATTTTATCATCTCTATCACTTGGGGCCATGTTTCTATTAATGAATCTTTTTTTTTCTCCTACTCATGTTATACTATATTTTACATGACTCATAATTTTTTACTGAATGGTAGGCATTTTGATTTATACATTTTTGGGTGCTAGACTTCAAGTAGTGTTTGACTTTGCAATGGCACACAATTAAGTTACTTTTGACAATTTACTACAAGCTTAAAGGAGGTACAGAACAGCTTTTGGTCTAACATTAATTTAACACCATCTATAAAATAAATATTTTTTAAAGCTCTAACAAATACTTCATATATTAAGTATGCTCCACTCTAGCTGGGGAAATATAAAGTATTCCCCATCGTGTACGAGTGCTAAGGATTGTTTACCATACTCTTTTCTAGTGCTTCTTTTTGTGGTCTTTCTTTGTTTCCTCTCTTACGTGTACATATAAGTCCTCTGCCAAACACTGGAAGGAAGGCCTCTGTACATTTCTAGTATTTATTCTCATTCCCCCTCCCCCGACCTCCACAGACCTCTCTCTTATTCATTTTTTATCTCTGCAATCACTTCCTTTCTGGTACTCTATCTCAGCAATTTTAGAGC